GGATTCTGATGTGCATTCAAGGTTGAGAATTACTGCTTTAGATTACAAAATGCTTTCACATACATTATCCAGGGTTTTGTATACATAAAGAGAGGAAATAGAGACATTTTAATGCCTTTTGATTGTATAAAGAAACAGGAAGAGACAAGAGTGGTAATTGTGAAAATGAAAGGATTGCAGAAAAAACAGTTTTCAAAAATTGGAAGAGGGCTTCCCTGGTGGTGCAGTGGTTGAGAGTCCACCTGCCGATGCAGGGGACACGGGTTCGTGCCCCGGTCCGGGAAGATCCCACATGCCGCGGAGCGGCTGGGCCCGTGAGCCATGGCCGCTGAGCCTGCGCGTCCGGAGCCTGTGCTCCGCAACGGGAGAGGCCACAACAGCGAGAGGCCCGCGTACCGCCAAAAAAAAAAAAAAAAAAAAAAAAAAAAATTGGAGGAAAAAAACCTTACCTTTGTAGGGCTAAAATTAAGGATGATATCAATCCATGGAGTGTAGAACATTAAGGAGAGGCCTGTATGTCCATATTTCCTGCTCTGTATGGAATATTCTTGAGATGACAACAAAAGTTCCCTACCCAGAAAAGTCTGAAAATAGTCATTCAATATTTGATGACTATTATTTTCTAAAACCTTATTTAGTCCACTCTATAAAAGAGAAATATTAGAGAAGTAGAACATTTGTTATTAGGCAAAAAGTTTGTTAAAAAATATCACGTTAATATTTCCGTGTGCATTCTGGGGTTGTACACACAATCTGCATGTAGAGACAGACGAGTGCCTCAACGGTGATCCTTACAGCTTCTGGATGGTTATAGTGAATAATTCTGCAGGTAAAAGTGGCAAGTAACAACCTTGGTTGTAGCTAAAGGATGAAGTGGAGCCAACTCTGGGCTCTCAGATTAGGGGGAATAGAAGTCAAGTCACAATGAGGCAGAAGAAAGTAAGTTGTGATCAGAAAGTAGGATATTGCATTTTGTGATTTTAGAAGTGGGCGGTGACAAAGCTTAGGCTGTGACCAAGAGAGTGAGTGACAGCTACTGTCAACAAAGTAGAGGCTAAGCTCTCATCTCCATGTCAACCAATAAGATGGAGATGGAGAGGAACAGTGCTTCAGGTACAGGAAAGAAAATCTTCCAGACCCTAAGTATTTAAGGTAAGGAATTTCAGTTCATCACCCCTTCTTCCCTCTAGTTTCCAGCTAACAGAGAATGACTTATAATAACAATAACAATAGTTCAGCACTTAGTACGTATCAGCATTGTTCCAGGCACTTTGCATGCATTCCAATGTTCACAACAGTTTTTGTGACAATCGATACTATCATGCCCATTTTACAGATTAAAAAACTGAGACATAGGGTAGGCAGCTTGCCCAATATGGGTTATAAATGCTGGTAGGCAGAGTTGGGGTAAGAGAATATTTTATGGAAGCTGTCAGCAAAAGTAAGTGCATAGAGTCCAGGAAGGGGCCTGGTGAGGGATGAGACTGAAATAATACATTGGAGCGGTATTGAGGAGAGTCCTAAACCCCAGTGTCCAGAGTTTGAACCTGATCTGTATCTTGAGATGATTGACTTTCCAATATGAACAAATTGGAGAGAGGCTGGACTGAAAGGACAAGTTAGGGTTGTTTTGGTCCTGATTAAAGGACTGGTAATGAGGAGGGTGGCAGGTGAAGGTTAAAGGAAGAGACATGTTTGATGTCTGTTGTAAAAGTCAAATGCAAAGATTTAGTACCTGGTTGGATGAAGTGGGTGAGGGAGAGGGAAGAATTTAATTAGAATCTGAGGTTTCAAGTCTGAGTAACTGAGCAGAACTTCAAGAGAGGCACTTTGTAGCGGTGAGAGGGACAGCATGAGTAGCTGGACTTTGAAAATCTGTAATTTGTTGTGTCAGCAGGCAGGCGTGGATGGAAGACCACAGGAGAAGTTGGAAACGTAACTTTGGAACTTAGAAGAGTCTGAGCTAGAAATGAAACTTTTGGTGTCGTCTGCATAATGGTGCTGTGGTAAAAACTTGGGAAGTGGATGAAATCTCTGAGGGTGGGAGAAGGAAGGAATAAAGACCCTTGGAAAACGTTTAAACTGGGGAACAAGAAGGAGGGAGAGGAGCCAGCAAAGGAGGCCAAAGGAGAGAGGTAACAGGATAGGAACACCCAAAAGTGTGCATCGTGGATCACAAGGGAATGGAAGGTTCCAGAAAAGGGCTGACTTAGCAGACCCTCAGAGAAGCTAAGAAGAATAAAGCCACTTGGAGTTGTTGATTCCAAGGTTATAAGGATCAAAAGTAGCAATAGAAGGATAGGAGGTGGCCTCCAACTGGAAGGAGGGAGTAGATCAGGGGAGACAGAGGCCACACGACTGGCCTCTTTTTCAAGAATTCAACAACTGGGAAGAAAGAGAAGATGGTCACTTGAAGGGGTAAGGCGTGTAATGGAAAGTGCTTTGTTTTGTTCTTAAGATAAAGAGGACCACTTAAATCTATTTTAGACAGTGATAAAAGAGCCATGGAGAGGATGAGTGAAGATGCACAGGCGCTCCCAGGTAGTAGCAGCAAAAACACTTCCCGTGGCAGAAATCACAGCAGGGTGAGGTTCTAAACTATTTTCTAACCTTATCATAAAACAAGCCAGAACTCATGGAGCAGAGATCCCTACCAACTCCACACAGCAGTTCTCTTCGAGAACAAGGCAAGGACCAATGGAGCAGGGGTTTTTCCACCTCTTCTGGGGGAAATGTGTGAATTTAACCCATACATCCCAGGGCAGAGGGGGAGAAGTAGCCCTAAAGACAATCTTTAAAGAGTGAAATAACTTCTTTCAGGTGTAGGGAGAAGAGGAAACTTTGATAATAAATCTGGAGTGCAAAATATTAGGATTTTCTTTTTATAAGTATTATTTGCACATTGTATAACTTGTAAATATTCTGGTGAGGGTTGGGGCATTTTTATCCAGTTTTTTGAAAAAGAAATAGTTAAATGCACTTAAGTACCTGAGTGTTATTCTCTCACTCTATGTGAGTGAGGCCAAACACTTCCTGGAAAAAAGTAAGTAGAAAGGCAAAAATATTGACAGTGGTTCATGAGTGAGTGCTGGCTTTGACTGCTGGAGGCCTCGGTAGGACAACTGCTGTAAACCAGTCAGCAAATGGCCTGTTCCCTTGTCCTGTCTCTTCCTATCAAGGGGACGGAAGTGGGCAGTGCTGGGCACCCAGAATGGAAAAGGGAGGAAAGAGAGAAAGAGGGACTCCCGGTTCCCAGGGAACGTGCACACCCTTCCTCTTCTGTGGGATGGGCTGGGTACCCTGTGTATTCAGAAATGGTCCCCGGGGGCCCATCACTGTCACAGTGCCGCAGAATCCTCAGACACAGAGAAAAGCCTCAGAGGTTGTTAGCATATCTCCCTCTGGACATGAAACTGGACTCAGCACCAACAAGAGAATACGAGAGGATTTGCTCTCCTCCATGCTTGGATAATGCCTATTCCCTGAAACCCAAAGAAGAATTAAGTATTATGCGGAACTCACACTATATTACACACTCAATCCCGAACAGCTGGGCTGCTGATAAAATCTAAAAAGAAGAGAGAACTGGCTGTTCTCCATCTATACATAATGTATTCGTAATAAATCTCTTGATGAGGAGGTATGAAGATCTCCTATTTCTGTGCAGCCCAAGGAAGCAGAACATTCGGCAAGTATCCAGTGAGTCTTATTAGCAGAGACAACCAGTATGGAAGCTCCAGGGGGACTTGCCCCACATTTCTATTAGTAACGGCAATTTTTTTTTTTTTTTACCTTAAATATGCTAGTAATTCTCTTGCTTGCAAAATTCATTTTGCCTAAGGATCGATAACTATGCTTTTTCTTAGTGTTACTGAATACCCTCCATGTTGTAGAGACTACATAAAAATAAAGCATCGCTTGCCACTTTTTTTTTTTTTTTGCTTTATTTCTGAGAGGATAGAACAGTAAAGCCATTCCCAGAATGATTTATTTTCAAGAAAATGGAAATAATAAAACATGAAACAGTAGAGTTGTGTAAAATCCTATATTATGTATGAAATGCCTACTCTACAATTTAGTAAAAAGGATAACTGGTGACAGTCAAGAGTATTCTATATGAATATAAGAATTTTGATTCTGGTGTGGGTGGTAGTGATTAAGAACAAGGTTGGTAGTGTCAGAACATGACACTTTCCTCCTAGGTTTTGCTTGCAAAGTGCAGCCGCCTGTGTGGAGCCCCCCAGGGTCAGGGCCAGTCACCAAGCCAACCAAATAATAATGGTTGACACCAGATAGAAACCAATGACAAAACAAAAGATATTTGTTAAAGATAATTTTTACTTAAGTTACTGCTGAAATATTTTCTCACTATAGTTAGAAATGTGTCTCTCGTGGTCACTTAGACTTTATAACAATAAGATCATCTCAGTGTCTAGGAGGATCCCTACCCTCTTTAAGGAAGAGAAATACAACATGCATTTGATCATTTAATAGCAGATTTGGCTTATTCAAAAAGAGGGACGTGGGCTTCCCTGGTGGCGCAGTGGTGAGAGTCCGCCTGCCGATGCAGGGGACACGGGTTCGTGCCCCGGTCTGGGAAGATCCCACGTGCCGCGGAGCAACTGGGCCCGTGAGCCATGGCCGCTGAGCCTGCGCGTCCGGAGCCTGTGCTCCGCAACGGGAGAGGCCATAACAGTGAGAGGCCCGCGTACCACAAAAAAAGAGAAAAAAAAGGTATTTATTAATTAATCAATACCTTATACCAGCAATGTATGAAATTATAGTTTTACCGCAGGCTTGACAAGCTGCTAATAAGACTATGTTACTCTTATTTGTGTTTATTTCATCCCTAGCAAGCTTGAAAATTTTTGCAAGTATTTGTTCACAATGTTCTGCATGTGTGCTTGGTTCTAAATTTTTGTTGTTGTTTTCTTATCAATTGGATTATCTGTCCCAGCTCCAGTCTCAACCCCTCTCCTCACATTTATTGCTTCGTATAGGCTCCCATGATTCATTCAGTTACTGGGTAGACGAAAAGTCCCCAGTGGGGCCTGACCAAACCCCAGCTATCAAACGCCTCGCCAGGATCTCCTTGGTAAAGAAGCTCATGAAGAAATGGTCTGTGACTCAGAACCTGACATTCCGAGAACAGTTGGACGCTGGGATCCGCTACTTCGACCTGCGTGTGTCTTCCAAGCCAGGGGATGCCGACCAGGAAATCTACTTCATTCACGGGCTTTTTGGCATCAGGGTCTGGGATGGGCTGATGGAGATTGACTCGTTCCTCACACAGCACCCCCAAGAGATTGTCTTCCTGGATTTCAACCACTTCTATGCCATGGACGAGGCCCATCACAAACGCCTGATTCTCCGGATCCAGGAGGCCTTTGGGAACAAGCTGTGCTCAGCCGGCAGTGTGGAGAGTATGACGCTCCAGACGCTGTGGGAGAAGAAGAGCCAGGTAGGAGGGAACAGAGATTAGCTTCCAAGGGCAACAACGGAACTCTTTCTGCTTTTTCTGTGTCACCAGCTCTAAGGCAGCTCACTCCAGGGCTCTTGGGTCAGAAGGCATAGATTGTTTGGGATGATAAAGATCTGCACACCAGTTCATGGGCTCTAAGACGGCTCCAAGGGCGCCCCTGGGCACAGCTGAACTGGGATTAACTTGTTTGGCAATGGCCTGGCCAGAACCAGCCCCAGGCAGAGTTGTGAAATAGGACCAGTTGGCCATTACCATTTTTCTGTCTCCCATTGTATCTGTTTTCACACTCCTAGTTCCCCTTAGGGATCATCTGTCCCATCCTGTCTTCAACTCAATATCAGATAATCCCTGCCAAATATTGTTTGATAGCATTAGCTGACAAAGGCACGTGAAGTGATTCGTCTCAGAGGTGTTAGTTAACATTTTGAAAGGCCATCTCCACAGAGTTTGGGTCAGCGTCAGCGGGGAAGACAGTTAAAGAAGGAAGAACCCGCAAAGAGATCAAGGCTAGAGGAGCATCCCTAAGTTGAGAAGAGCCCCAAACCCAGACCCAGGAAGGACAGACTCAGGAAAAGGAGTGCGGGCCTCAGATATATTCTGTTCTGGTCCCAGAGGATGGTGGGTAGTGAGAGAGGAGAGCTTCAGGAATGGTCAGCCTCCAATTTAGACTCTCTTTAAAAAAGAAAAAGCAAAAAAGTACCTTTCATTCACAGTTGCTCCCTTACTCATAGAGGCATTAACCAAAGCATCTTAAAGAGGCAGTGATTTTTGAACTGAGGGAAGAGCTTTTAATTAGAAAGCAATTAAAGATTATTCCTTTGCAAATGTATGGTGAACACTAAGTACGTGGCGAGCTCCATTCTAAGCACTTGGGATAAATCAGTAAATAAAACAAAGATCCTTGCCCTAATGGAGATTTCATTCAGGTGGACGGAGATAGATCATAGATAATAAACATGATAAATACAGTGTAGAGAATGTTAGAAGGTAATAAGCAATGGAAAAAGAAAGCCAGGCACAGTAAGGGGGAACCGGGGATCTATGGGTTGGAGGGTTGGTCACAGTTTTAAATGTGTTGATCAGGGTAGCCCTCATTGAAGAGATGACATTTGAGGGAGTGAAACTATTGGGGGAAGAGCTTTCCCAGCAGAGGAACCAGTCAGAGCAGAGCCCCAAAGCAGGAGGGTCCCTGACATGGTTGAGGAAAAGCAGGGGCCACGGGACTGGAGAGCAGAGCAGCGGACGAGGTCAGAGAGATAATGGTTGATCAGGGGGCCCTTGAAGGCACTGAAAGGACTTGGTTTTTACTCTGAGTGAGGAAGGTTCTGGGAGGGTTCTGAGCACAGGGTGTTGTGGCCTGACTTAAGTTTTGATGGTATCCCTCTGGTTACTAGGAAGAGCCCTGGAAAGACAGAAGGGAAGTACAGAAACCAGTGAGGAGAGTAGTGGGAAGTGGTCAGATTTGGAATCCACCAGAAGTTAGACCTAATAGCGTTTCCTAACTGTTGGGATGTGAGGATTCCAGGATGACTCCCAGGCTCGGCCTGAGTAAACACCAGGAACAACCAGGGAAACACCAGGTGGTTTTGCACACCCGTGAAAGTGCTGAAGGTCTTTGAATCTACGAAGACTAATGAGTTAACTCTTAGTATCTGTTAAGTTTTATCTAAGCTATTTTTCTTCACTAAAACTTTTGTAAGTGATATTTTGCCAAATATTTATCACACCTCTCCCCTAAACCTAAGTTTATATCTATTCAGACTCGCAGGTCAAATTTGGAGAGATTTGGGCTTCCCTGGTGGCGCAGTGGTTGGGAGTCTGCCTGCCGATGCAGGGGACACGGGTTCGTGCCCGGTCCGGGAAGATCCCACATGCCGCGGAGCGGCTGGGCCCGTGAGCCATGGCCACTGAGCCTGCGCGTCCGGGGCCTGTGCTCCGCAATGGGAGAGGCCACAACAGTGAGACGCCCGCATACCACAAAAAAAAAAAAAAAAAAATTGGACAGATTTTTCCCCAGTGAAATCTCTCTCTTACAATGCTAAATAATACTAGTAACAAGAGCAATAGCACATTTATTGAGCCTTTACAATGTACTAAGTACAGGGATTAACTCATTTAATCCTCTCAACAACACTATGACATAGGCTGTCATTATTATCCTCATTTTACAGATGAGAAAACTGAGGCAGGGAGCAATTAAGCACCTTGCCCAAGAGAACATTGTCAGTGAGCCACAAGGGCCAGGACTCAGTCACAGGCTGTTGGGCTCTACGAGTTCCCACAGCCTTCAATGCTCTCCCAGGGCTGTTCACACATCTTGGTGATCTTCACAACTAGTGTCATAGACGATGCTAATAAAAACACTTTCTCCTTATTCAAGAGCCCTATTATCAGAAGGTCTCAGAGGGTTAGCAGAATGGGAGACAGGGAAGATCCGTGAGAGGGCTTTTGAATACGAGGATTCAGGTAAGGTTAAATTTGAGTCCAGCTAAATTTATAAACAGGTATCTGTTATAGTTTTGTAATTTTATGCACAGATAGTATTCTGGATGGGCTGCCACTTTGCATACTAAATCATTTAGAAATTTGCAAGAGAAACAGGTAATTTCAGGAATAATGAATCATGTGGACAGTGAATTTCTAGCAGAACAGTAAAGATCTGTTACAGTTTTTAAGTATGGGCTAATCTGTGTCATTCAACAACCAATACCCCTAAAATTATGAAGGAAAGAGACTGTGATGATGTGTCAGAAAAAGGGAGCATGTCTTCAATTTGAATTCCAGGATTTCCCTGCTCCCCTTCCTTTCCCAGAGGTTTCCCTGCTAAACCTCTTCTTAAAAGCTAAAGAGATCTCCAACAGAGCTCTCAATCATCTGCCCCCTGCTGGGGCAGTGCCATACTGGTGGTTAAACTTTAAATATTCATTATATAATGAACTGCCTTGCATGTAACCCCCAGAGTATTTTATTACTACAGTTTGATAGAAAAAAGTGTACCACCATTCAGTCACATTTCATGTACTCAACATGCAGTTATATCACAGCTCACAGGTATGTATGGGTATATTAGTGGTTATGAGTTTTGAGGGTACAGTGAATTGGAAGATTTCATCTACAACTTGGCAGTATTTAGAATCTTAATGAGAAGGTAAGAATATGTGCCGCTAGTAAACTATAAGACAACTGACATACAATTACAAGGCAAAACTGCCTCAAACGTGCTGTATGAAAAAAAGGGTTTTGTAATCCATCAATTGAAAAATAGTACGTAGTATAAATCTGCATCCCAGGGGCCCCTGTAAAAGAATGATCAAAGTAAGAAGAGGTCAATTAAAGAATAATTCTTAAAGGAAATGAGATTTTAAATCTGAGTCTCGAGAGAAAACCTGCATATGAATTGCTGAGCTGGAGGGAAGAATATCTCAGACAGAAAATACAGCAGAGCGAGGTCCGGAGTCAGATGCAAAACACAGGCCCTGGGCAAGACTTACTGCCCCCCAGAATTCTGTAGAATGAGGGCTGGTTTGCTAAGCCAAGCTCCCACCGTAAACAGAAATTCCCCCTATAACCTTTAGGATCAGATTACTTGAGAAGGCTCTTGAGGAAAGCCATAAAGCCCCTTTTGTAGAATGTGTCCTTTTTGCTCCTTCTCCAAGACTGAGTGAAGAACAGCGCTTTCCTTTCATCCCCTGACCCTCTGCTCAGGGGCCAGGCAGCATGGGAAATGGTCTGACAGGCCCTGTCGAAGGATCCCACAACCTCCCGCCTCGCCCACAGTCCATCTCACAGCCCAGCTTTTCACACTTACAGATGCTGGAGACCCCAGCCTTCCAAACTAGCCAGTTACAACGCCAGCAGGAAATCTTCCCCAATCTCCCAGGCAACCTGCTTACGATGAGCCTGTGATTAACCTCATTAACCCATGTGTTTACCACCAACATCATTAGCAGGCAGTCAGACATTACTCAAAGCCATTAAAAGCAGCAAGAACAACTAGCCTGTTCAGTGCTTTGAGCCTGGTGCTCCCTAGCTCTAGGCCTTTAGGAGCAGTTAGGCTAAACGCACCCCGGAAACAAGACACACATTCAGAGCTCTTGCCCTTGGGTGCCAGGAGAATTATGCTGTCAGGCCAGCTATTCGAGGATTGCGGTCCACGGAGTGTAAATACACACAATGGACATTCCTCCAGGGAAGAATCGCTGGTACCCGGGAGGAGAAAAAACATAGTGCTTCTGGAAACCTAAACATCAGAGCTCTGAATTGGGACAATCGAAATAGCAATTCCCTGTCTCTCTGCTGCCTTCAGAAACTAATTAATGCCGTGGATGTGGCTTGCTAATTATTTGCAAAATCACTACCATCCTGAGAGGTCCCACTGGAGACCCATCCGGTACTCGAAGTCTTCCCTGCCTCACATAGCTCACTCCCTCCCTCTCCCGGGAAGGGCAGTTTCATTCAGAGTCAGCACGCGCAACTGAAAACCTACATCCTCCCAAATTCAGTTCAGTGTATTGATCTCAACCCAAGAGCTAAGGGTCAATTTCGTGAGCATAGGAGTCATAACTTATAGACAGGACTAACCGCTGAGTTTCTCCACCTGGGGTCCAGAGGTCCCTAAGGGGAGTGGGATAGGGTAGAATTTAAGAAGTCTGTGAATTTGGATGGGAAAAGCACTACATACTGGCTTTTAACCTCTAACTGAAAATCCGTATAACCACTGATTATGTGTGAGCAGTCACCCATGGCAGTGTCGGCAGTGTTGGCAGTGTTGGCAGTGTTAGCAGTGTTAGCAACTCCCTATGACTTTGTCCCCACAGAAACCACAGATATTCATTTAGTGCAGATATCTTGAAATATTGTGTATACTCATCATTTACTCAAAATTATGGAACTTATTAGACTTAAAACAAAATATTTTTATTTAATGAGTTTATTATGAAGTGCATACATTAATTAATTTATTACAGATTTAATTATTATGTTGATAGCTATATTTCCATCTCATTGATTTTCTTTGTAATCCTGTCTATTTTATTCTAGACATTCATTTAAAACCATCTGAGAAGGGGTTCAGGAGTTTACCATACTTCCAAAGGTGTTCATGACCCCCAAAACGTTAAAAACTTCAAGTCAGGCATATAGCAAGTGCTTAAATCTTTGCTTATTAATTTTTCTAAAAAAATATATATATAAACATTTTTGAATTTCCACGTGTGTTTGTATGTGTGCGCCTTTCCTCCTAGCAATCCATCAGTGTGAAGCCGGGAGCTAACACTCAGCTTGTTCATGAACCGCCCTCCTTTATTTGTTCTGAACGTTTCAGGTTCTCATCTTCTATCACTGTCCCTTCTACAAGCAATACCCCTTCCTATGGCCTGGAAAGAAGATCCCCGCGCCCTGGGCAAATACCACGAGTGTGCGCAAGCTCATCCTCTTCTTGGAGACCACGCTGAGTGAGCGCTCTCCCCACGGATCCTTCCACGTGTCTCAAGCGATCCTCACGCCCAGAGTGAAGACCATCGCCCGGGGCCTGGTTGGCGGCCTCAAGAACACGCTGGTCCATAGGTAAGAATTTGCTTCCTTTTCACAAGTGAGGGTTAAAAAAAAAGTTTTTATCTTGATTCTCTTCTGAATGAACAGCAAACAGGAGTAAAGCCGTATACCTTGAAGATTTAAAATAACAAAACAAAACCCAAAAAACCTTATATTTGAAAAAGTTGTGTACTTGAGGTGTCTTGCATTAACCGTGGCCAAAGGATCTCTAAACACTCTGTTAAAATGTACATATTATAACGTAAATACCCTCTACATTTCAATATGGAGACAAAGCACTTTCGGCCACCACCAGTCCGTTCACGTCTGGCTGGAGATGCCATCATGTTCCTGCCCCTGCCCTCGAAACTAGCCCAAGCACTCACTCTCTTAGGAAGCATTAAATGAGACTGCTGTGCCAGGCAGTAGGGATTCAGAGATGACCCTCCCAGGATTTAGGATATCCCTTCTCCCTTCCTTAGTGACAGTGAGTCCTAAGAAGCAGCTCAGGATGCCACCTACCATGCCATAGCTTCAGATACTTCCTCGGAGCAGAACTGATCCTGACTGTACAATTAGGCAGGAGAAGCTCCAGAAACGTTGTGTTAGATGATGTTCGTTATCCTGGGCACCAATAAATGATAGGGGTCGTCAAGAAAAAGGATGGCTTGTGTCTATGTCCATGTATGTGTGTATGCCTATGCCTGTGTATGCCTATAAAGGGAATGCTATAAATACATTTGGCTAATAGGGCATCCCTCACAATCCAAGCTGAGGAAACCAGTATGTTTGGATAACAAGGGATATTTACGAGAATCACTTGGTTCCTGAGTTCCAGGTGCTGAGCACCAGAGTTCAGATACTGAAAGATTCATCAAAAAACGTGTCCCTGTCTATTTGGATAGTTTGGATATGACTTCTGACAACAGGTGTTCACCTGGCAGGAGTTTGGATGACGACCTGAGAGCTTCTGATTGTGCTGGCCGTGAACAGAACCAGAAACCTCTTTCGGTGTGGCTCTACTAAGTCTTCACTGAATTACCTGTGCTTAACTTGGGAAAGAGAGTTTCATAAACCAAGACGAGAATCATGAACTTTCCTTTTTATAGTACATGCTCATATATCCATACCATTTCCTCATGCCTTTGGTAAATTTGTAGATTAACATTATTTATTTATTTATTTATTTAATGATGAACAGGAGCTAGGTCCAAAGACACAAGATGAATAATCTAGTCATTGCCCCCACAGACGTACATTCTATCGGGAAAAATAAACATGTAAATTTCTATGTAACACTGTGAAAATCACTATAATAAAGTCTGTGCAGAGAGCTGTACTTGTAAGGAAGAGGAAGTCTTTAAAAATAAGGATGTGTTATATCTGTATAGTGTATTCTGAATATAGAGCACCCTCTTGCAGATGATTTCATTAGGTTCTTAAAGTAAGCCAGCCTCCAGGAGGGCACGTTGTCGAAAGCATGTTATTGTCCCCACTTCAGATGGGCCCAATGAGTTTAAGTGACCCAGACCCCCAAAGCTGGTAAGAGTCAGTATTACATCCCATCCGTGGACTTCTGATTGTTGGACCATTGCCCCTTTCAGCATCCAAGCACTGACTTGTATGTAGCACATTTCAGTGCCCTGTTCCTTTCTGCTCCACTGGTCTGTGATTGTCTCACTAGCACCTGAATCCGGTCAGCTCTTACTGGCTACAATTCTGAACCCACAAAGTCACAATGCTTTTCATACTCGTGAGCTCCTGCATCTTTAATCTGGCTGCAGATGAAGCACAAGGCTCTTCCATTGAGAGGTAACGATGGCGCACGCGCCCAAAGTCCCAGCATCCTAGCACGCCAGAGCCTTAAGCTGCTGGCTGCAAGCACACATCTGGGAGATTGGAAGGATACTGGGGCATCTCGCCGCCTGCTGGTCACAAGAATGTTACCGAGATGCATTAGGCTTCCTAGGCCTCCACATGAGCTGCTTTGGTCAAATTTGTTCCCAAACACCAGCACGACAGGTGGCTGTCATTTCCCCTGGGCTATTGAACAAGCGTGTTGACTTAAAAAAATATATATGCACAACGTGAGAGCTGCGAGTTAAGTTTTATTGGGAGCAGAATGAGGACTGAAGCTCAGGAGACAGCGTTTCAGATAACTCTGAGAAGCTGCTCCAAGGAGGCGAGGGGGGAAGCCAGTATACAGAGGAGTTTTTCAACAAAGGGCAGGTTGTCGGGAACGTCAGAAGATTATTGCTAATTAAAGAAAACCAGATATCTCAAGTTAAGGAATTTAGCGTTTTTCTATGTACGAAGATGCAAGAGTCTTGGCTTACTGAAATCATTCCTTTGATATGCACCTCAGCCATCTGGGGCCAGTATCCTGACACATCCTGAGTTTCCTCAGGGCTCACCGCAGGGAGTGGCTGCAGTCTGGCGGGCTGCTAGATGGCAGGTATTCTTTTCAGCCCTGAGTTTCCTCGGCTCACATTTGAGGGGTATAGTCATTGATGACTGTGACATCCTTTGTTTATTGACATGGCAGGAAATATTTCATTTCTCAAGCATATGGAAGAAGCAGTTGTCACAGGCCTTCCCTGAGAGCCAACACCCAGAAGGTCTGTCGTAAGGCACAAGGGGTGCTGTCAGACTGGTCCTGGGCACCAGTTATCAGCTTAACCGAGAGGAAAAGGCAAGGTATATTTTCCTATAAATGTAGTGGTGGTTTTCTCAGCAGGCAGTTAACCCCCCCTTCCCGCTAACTCTTAGGTCAACTTTGGACTTGAGATTTTGTTTGCTTGAAGCCATGAAAAATATATCCATTCTTATCTCCATTTCATTAAGATCTTCTTGTGAGTTTCTATCTTGATCTTTCGTTTGGAACATATTTCTCTGTCTCCTCTTTTGCCTGACTCTCTGTGCCAACTACGTCCCCAGTCTTGAAGGAGTGACCTTGTGCAGGTGATGTCCCGAGGGCCCAGAGCTCGGGGCACAGGGGGTGTCCCCTCTGTGGTGCGCCTACCTGCTGTGGTGCAGGGGTAAAACATAGCCATTCTGACTGAATTTCTAAGGTAGTTTTCCCTAGATTCTTAGAAAGCTTGCACTCCCACTGAAATCAGATGAGAGCAAATTTTGCCTAAGCCTGAGGGCACAGCAGCATGGGGCCGCAGAAGGGGACACAGACTGAAACCAGAGGCCCAAGGTTGAAGCCTGACTTGGTTCCTGTTACGGACTGAATTGTGTTCCCTGGAATTTCACATGTTGAAGCCCTAATCTCCAGTACCTCAGAACATGGCTATATCTGGAGATAGGGCCTTTAAAGAGCTGGTAAAGTTGGGCTTCCCTGGTGGCGCAGTGGTTGAGAGTCCGCCTGCCGATGCAGGGGACACGGGTTCGAGCCCTGGTCCGGGAAGATCCCACATGCCGAGGAGCGGCTGGGCCCGTGAGCCATGGCCGCTGAGCCTGCGCGTCCGGAGCCTGTGCTCCGCAACGGGAGAGGCCACAACAGTGAGAGGCCCGCATACCACAAAAAAAAAAAAAAAAAAAGCTGGTAAAGTTAAAATGAGGCCATTCAGGTGGGCCCTAATCCAGTCTGACTGGTGTCCTTATAGGACGAGGAAATTAGGACACACAGAAACACTGGGGATGGGTGTGCACAGAGAGCAAACCCTGTGAGGACACAGGGAGAAGGTGGCCATGTGCACGCCAAGGAGAGAGGCCTCGGGAGAAACCAAACCTGCTGACACCTTGATCTTGGACTTCCAGCCTCTAGAGCTGTGAGGAAATAAACTTACGTTGTTTAAGCCACCCAGTCTGTGGCGTTTTCTTACAGCAGCCCTAGAAAATTAACACAGTGCCTTAGAAACAGACTACCTGGGCTTCCCTGGTGGCACAGTGGTTGAGAATCTGCCTGCCGATGCAGGGGACACGGGTTCGAGCCCTGGTCTGGGAGGATCCCACATGCCACAGAGCAACTAGGCCCGTGACCACAACTACTGAGCCTGCGTGTCTGGAGCCTGTGCTCCGCAACAAGAGAGGCCGCGATAGTGAGAGGCCCGCGCACTGCGATGCAGAGTGGCCTCCGCTCACAACTAGAGAAAGCCCTCGCACAGAAACAAAGACCCAACACAGCCAAAAATTAATTAATTAATTAATAAACTCCTACCCCCAACATCTTCTTTAAAAAAAAAGACTGCCTTTGACAAATTTCCTGAGGTCTCTGAGCTATGGTTTGTCTTACCAGATAAGTCGGGTTAATAAAACCGCACAAGATTGTGGAGTCTTAACAGGAAAGCGTCTCCCACAGTGCCTGGCACAAGACAGGCATGCCATGCCCGTCCCTGCACTGGACCAGCCCTGCTCTCAGTGGGCCTCTAAGCCAGGGGGAAGTTTCTGAGCTGCTGCTCTGCAGCCCTTGGGGTTCAGTGCCTCACGGCCCCACAGCAGTATCTGACTCAGCCGTCTGCACTGATCCCTTGGTAAAGAAATCTTGGTAAAGAGGTCTTGGTGAAGAGGTCTTGGTGAAGAGGGCTTGGTGAAGGCCAAGAGTTAAGAGAATAGAGCGGCCCCTGCTCAGTGGGTTCTGCATTTCCTCGTTATTCGATCCTTGTGCGCAATCCTGCTTATTTGATCCTTGCCCTGGGGAAGGCTGACATGAGAACCCGAAGCTGACACAGAGCTCTTTGTCACGGAGAGGAGACCACAGGTGCTCGCCTTTCCCTCTGCTCGGCCTCCAGGCCTCCAGGGATCCTCCACGGGCTGGCTCTGGCTGGAGTCGGCTGGAGGTGCCTTGACCAAACCTTTCATTCTCATTTCCCCGTGATGACCAGCAGGTGGTGCCAGAATCTCATACTTCAACATGGACCAGCGGATTTTTTAAGAGGCTGAAATGCATCAGGCTCAGGGCTGCTGTGGCCTTCGTGTGTTCCAGGTCTTTGTCTCCAAGGGGTGACTGCATTTGTGACCCTTCCCTCTCAGGACACAGTTTGTCACCTAAGCAGCAGGATGTGACCACTTTAGGAAGTTTTCTTACCCCCACCCCCAAATCTCTACCATTTATGATTCCTTCTCTGGTCCCCAACACTTACAGAGTACTTATTATATCCCAGGCCCTCTTCTAAGTACTTTACACATATTACTTTATTTAATTCCCCCAAATCTATATGAAGTTTTATTATTATCCCCATTTTACAGGGGGAGAGACTGAGGCACAGAGAAACTGAATAGGTTATGGTCAAATCAAGGGTACTACTAAATTGTCAGGAGTCCCAGTTAAGAATGGAAGTACCCCTGTGATATTGGCTTATTAAGTCATAATCAGCTATGAATATAAAAATGCAAATCAATTTGTGAGATGTGTTTTAGCCCATGGCTGATCATAGAGCCTGCTGAGCGAGGGAAGAGACCCAGGACTGATTACAGTTGTCACGATAAAAGGAAAAGAAAGTGGAGAAGGACAAAATGCTTCAAGGCCTTGACAGGTTGCCTAGAGAGAGACTGAGAAGTTGAATGTACACTCAGAGGAGGGAAGACAGCTTCAGAGGCACAAGGCGGGGAGAAGATGACAACCAAGGACAGTGTTACCAAAAGAAGGGAAAGGGGCCATTAAGAAATAAACTTAGCTTATTTTCAGTTTTTACCCAGAGAAAATCCTTCCTAAAAACAACCTCCAGTCTCTTAACCAAAACATAAGCCCTGGTTTGTGTCTTCCTTATAGCATCCTCAATGTCGCAAGTATTTAGTGAGCTATTGTTACCATGATGCAAAACTGAGTACTTCATTACTCCCTCCTCTATACCACCCACGATATTTTACACATACTACTAATATAGGGACTATCACATTAAACTGTCATCGTTTGTTTACATCTCTGAATTGTGAGCTTCTTTGGATCACATTCTAGCTTTCACATAGAAATTATAACATGAGACTGACAGACTGCATTTGTAAGACAACTGAGCAAGCATTGGTCCAATAAGAAGCCACACGTGCTGCTGGAATAACTGTATATCCATATGGCAAAAGTGAACCTTGGCCCCTGCTTCACACCATAGATAAAAATTAACTTGAGATGGATCTTAGATCTAAACATAAAAGCTAAAATTATAAAACAGGAAAGTATCTTGTGACTTGGGAGTAGGCAGAAGTTTCTTAGGTCACAGAAACCATAAAAGAAAAAAAAAGATAAATTAGACTCCATCCAAATTAAGGAATTCAGCTCACCAAAATATGCCATTGAGAAAATTAATAGGCAAGCTACAGGTGGGGATAAAATATTCAGAAAGCTTATCTGACAAAAGGCTAGTATCCAGAATATATAAGTAACGTCTACAACTCAACAATTAAAGGAAAAAGAGCAAAAGAGAGAATGGGTAAAAGAACTGAGCAGATGCTTCCCAAAGAAGATACACAAATGGCCAATAAGTACATGACAAACTGCCCAACATCATTAGTGATCAGAAAAATGCAAACTAAAACACTGTGAGATAACTTTACACATCTGCTAGAACAGCTAAAATTAAAAAGATTTATAGCACCAAATTTAAGAGAGGATGTGAAGCAAACAGAACTCGCATACTTTGTTCATGGAATGTACAATGGAACGACCTCTTTGGGTAAAGATCTGGAAATTTCTTATAAAACCAAATGTAAACCTAACATATAATAAAACAACTTCACTCTTTGGTACTTACCCAAAAGAAATGAAAATAAATGTCCACAAAAAAGACTTGTATAAGGATGACCATAACAGCTCTATTCATAATATCCAAAAACTGGAAACAGTCCGTTTATCCATCAATAGGAAAATGGATAAATTACAGTATATTCATACAATGGAATACTATCCAATGACTAAAAAAGAGAACAAATTGCTGATGCATGCAACAACATGGATGAATTTCAAAACCATAATGCTGAGTGAAAGAGCCTCACACACAAGAATGCACATTGCATGGCTTATGTGTAATTCTAGACCAGGCAAATTTAATCTGTGTTTTTTTTAAAAACAACAATAACAACAACAGTATAATTATTGCCTCTGGAAGAATGGGAGCAGGGATCGATGGGAAAGGTGAATGCAGAACCTTCTGGGGTGCTGGTAATGTTCTATACCTTGAGATGGGTATGGGTTACATATATACATTTGTCAAAACTCAACCAGTGTTCACTTAAGCTGTGTGCATTTTACTGGGTATAAACATTACGTCAAAGGGGAAACAGGTTGAAAACAAATACTGAACCCTAGATCTGCATGCTGAGATACTGAGGGGAATGTGTCATAGATGTTTGCAGTTGGAATTTGTCAAAAATGTAAGCTGGATTGATGCCCAGATATATGGTAAGCAAGTATAGTAAACTGTTAGTGGTAGAATCTAGATGGTGGACATGCTCACTGTAAATTTCTTTCCGTGTTGCAATATGTTTGAAAAGTTTCATGATAAAATTTCGTGGTACAAAAAAATTAAAGAACTCACCAATAATTAGCCTCTTGATCTTAGTTTTTCAAGGTCCTGTTGACATGGTATGTCTTTGGTGATTGAGGCGAAGAATTTCTTCTTCCAGCACAGAAACCCTAAAAGTACAGTTCTCTAATGGACTAGACATCACTCTGTCCCTGAAAAAGATTTAAGCTTAAAGGGACAAATTTGGTGTCCCTTTATGACACCATGAGCTTATGCCTCTGTTGATACGCTTTTGTTACATTAACAGAAATGTTTTCTTTCCCGTTTCTCAACGCTACTCTCTGTTCTCTCTTGCCCCAACACTCTCCTGTGTAGGAATCTTCCTGCCATCCTGGACTGGGTGAAGACTCAGAAGCCTGGAGCCCTGGGTGTCAACATCATCACGTCTGACTTCGTGGACCTGGTGGACTTTGCCACAGCTGTCATTGAATTGAATGACCTCCTACAGGAGGATAGAGCTTTGGCTAAATGCTGATTTAACTTGTTATTTAACTTAATATTGAAGTTGTTGATCCAGGCTAGAGTTCTGAAGGGTTTCTTGTTAAGTTGGCCCCTGGGCAGTGATGGTGAAGGGAGTCAGAGGAGGGGATATTTTTTTTTTCCCCTCCTCACAGGGCCATTTGGATAAAATTACAGGGCTTTTAATTGCATTTTTCCCAAATGAGACTTTGTAAAAACTTAAGTCCGAGGGAAGAAAGCTTGTTTCATGTGATCAAGGTCAGCATCTCCCCAACGGCATATGATGTTGAATGTAATATGGAAGTGGGGTTTCCAGGTTCCACTGGGGTATTGAGTGTCCCCTAATTGGCCCAGTTCCCTGTTGTCTTCTGGGATGTTGTGTTGGAGGCAGAGAGAAGGCTGAAGCAGAAGGGCATTCCTGATCCAAAGGATGGCTCATGGCAGGTGTGGACTGCCCTGTGCGGTGGCTCTATCACCAGCCTGGGGCTCTGAGGGGAGAAAGGCCAAGCAACAGTTTTCTCTAAGCGTGTTAAACGTCACCACTTCTTCCCCAAGAGTAAGACGTATTTATCACCAAACTATTTCAGCCACAAGCCGTCTTGCAGTGCTTGTGCTGGTAATTGGTCATCTTCATTCTTTAGATAAACCATGCATACTGTCCTCGGTATCAGAAACAAGTGGGTTTGGAGCTGTTCTGTAACTCCTTGAAAACAAGACTACCTCGGGGACATTTAGGATGATGGTGTGTCATCCCGTGAGAAATACACAGTGTTGGAACACTTCCAGTTTGTGTCTTGATTGTTCTACTTTCTGCAGGTTGTTTTGAGCCTACTAATCACCACTGAAGGAGGGCTTTGAAACTCAAGAGGGGATTTTTTTATTATTATTGATAAGAGGTGCTTATCTATAAAGAGCCCTCTTGTGTTTTATTTATTTATTTATTCTTTTATTTATTTATAGGTTAAGTATCTTCAGTGCTTCTTACCTCAAGAGCACTCACAAAGGAGCTTCCTGAACTTTTCTCACCCAGGCCAGATGCTGCCACGGTCCTCCTCCCCTCCACAGGACCACGCATCTCAGGACCATGAGCGACCTCTGACTCTACTATAGATGCTGTAGACGTTCTGCCCCCCACCCCAGCCCATCACGCTGGGGACGGTGTTCGTGTGTGGGTGTGGTCCAGACCCGAGAAGCCACTACCAAGCCGTGCACTGGAACAGAAGATGAAATGGGTCATGAAGAGCTCTCGGTTTTTAAGGAAAACCCTCTAGAAGAGCAATGAAAAGGAAGGTGCTAGAAAGAACACTGGCCACGGGAGTGTGTGTACTTCAGTGCTCCTCAGAACTCTCTGAGAATCCCTAAGGAAGTGTCGTCTTCTGGATCCTTAAGGCTGAAAGATAACACAGAATCCCGGACGGCTGTGTGCCTTTATACAGATGGTTGGACCACCTCCCAGCAGCTTCCCACACCTGTTCTCCGATGCTCATGGCTGGATTTTGCATGTTGCCTGCCGTGGGGGTGTCCTAGCTGAGCTGCTAAGAGCACATGCACACCCCCGGCACTTGGTCTTCCAGCCTTTACATTGCTTAAAGTAATTTAAGCCCCAGCCGAGGACGTCACAACGCAAAGGCCTCTGGTTTAACTGTTCCTTCTCTTGCATTTGAATCCCTCTCCAGAGATGGTTCTGGGATTTTATTGTCAGTTTTTTTAGGGCCTTCTCTGGAAAGGAGTGAGAAAGTGAGTACCCTCACTTTCTTAATTTTCCTTCGATTCTGATATTAAACTGCAGTGACTAGCTCTGAAATTCCCTAGCCTACCCTCAGGGTTTTATTTGTGTTGTCATTATTTCATTTTTGTCTTGATTTTAATACTTGGTCAATTGCTAGGGGCTAGATCATTTCCCTTCTTCAAGCCCTTTGTTACTTGGCAAAGAGATATGGAGGCAAGAGGAGAATTATTCTGCTGTTTTATTTGAGCCTTAGCTTTGCCCAGACGCTTGGTGCTATGAGGCCAGGTGTGTTGACAGGTATCTACACAGGATGCCAGTGACACCCAAGGGCTGCTGACTGTTCAGTGAAATGTTTACTTGATTTTCTCCTTTAGTGTTAAAATATATAGTTGCACTTCACTTGGGTTGTAACATTTAAGTGCACCTCGATGTTCATGACGAAAAAGCACAGAAAACCATACCAAGGCCGCACTCATGGAGTCTTGCTTTTTGTGGAGGGGCCAGGCGCTCACTCCTTCCTGCTGCTTTGGGTTGCCAGCCTGGCCTGCATTCTGAAATTCTGCACAGGCGTTCTGGAAGATAGGAGGAAGATTATTTACAGTTCACCCTTGGTAAACACCCCTGAATTGGCAGAATTTCTGCCCCAAGACCAAGTTGCTTAATATATTGTAAAGGATGTGTGTGTTCTGCTCCTTGACCTCAGGCCAAGCAGGAGACTCAGTGATGGGACCGGGGGAAGAGACACTTTAGGTCTATGACTCATTCTGCAACTGCCAACAATAAAAAATTGTGACCTGATCACATCGCTTATTCTCACAAGGTCTTGGGATTTTTCGGATCAAACAAGGCTATCATATTTGCTCAGAATGAACTTCAAGATCAGCGAAAAAGCTACTTGATTGAGCAAAAGAGGACTTTAGTTTCACAGGATTTGGGGCCACATTCATTCTGAAATGTAGACTGAGATTTTCTTGGGCTCCCAGAACCACTTCCCACATGGCCACACCTCCATGGCTTCGAGGCAAAGGGGACAGTCACAGGTTGCAGTTAGAGTAGAGCAGTGTTTAAAGGCTTGAACTTTGAGCCTTTTAGAGGTACCACTGTGGTTTCATGGGTACAGAAGATATTCTTAGGATTGGAGAAAGAGGTCAAGATGGAATTGATGGAAGGGAATGATAAATTATTGAATATTAAACTTTAAATTAATGGCAGATCTAAAAGGGTTATGCCAAAAATATTACGTATTTGCTGTATGAGACTCTATAGTAATTAAGTGTAATTATTTTCCTTAGTGCTGAGTCCAGACCCCTGCATTCTTGAGAACAGTTAAGCCATAGCCCCAACCCAGGATTTTATATAAACGCAAACAAAAACACAAGATCTGAGCCCAGGTAATGATCACCCTTAAGAATCCTACTTCTTCTAACATGACCTTATATTCTCATCAAAAAGTTTATATTTCTAGGGGCTTCCCTGGTGGCGCAGTGGTTGAGAGTCCGCCTGCCGATGCAGGGGACACAGGTTCGTGCCCCGGTCCGGGAAGATCCCACATGCCGCGGAGCGGCTGGGCCCGTGAGCCATGGCCGCTGAGCCTGCGCGTCTGGAGCCTGTGCTCTGCAACGGCAGAGGCCACAACAGTGAGAGGTTTGCGTACCACAGGAAAAAATGTTTATCTTTCTGTTCAATAAGACAATGTAGTGGAGCATTCTGGAATTAAATGCATTTCGTGGTGGGTCAGGATTTTCTACTTTCATTTATTCTGAAGTGCTGCCCACAGAGATATTATTATTACATACAATCCAGCTAGGGGGCTTAGTGCTAAACTAAAGGTGGAGAAACAGAAGAGATTAAGCCTGAGACGAAACTTTTGCTTCCTAGGAAGCAAAAGCATGATACAAATTTAGGCCATCTTACTGAATTAGTTCATGCCACAGATGAAGTTTTTGTAATGGCCTTCATTGGCTAATTGCAGACTTTTGCTGATAGGTTCTGGGAAATGGAACGGGCTAATGATGGGAACACAGCCATGAGACCCCCCCCCCCTCCCCTTGCAGAGCAGAGAAGCGATCCTGGACTAAATCTGCCTTGGGTCTTTCATCTGGAATAAAAATGCTGTCTGCTGTTTTGCAAACCACACTCAACTAGTTCCCCCAAAACATCAGGTCCCTAATAATTAGGTTAAATGCCTGTGCGCAGAGTGTGTACAGGGACAGTAGTCTTCCTTGTGTGAGATGTGTAGAGATGTGTAGGGAGCTCATGTATCAAGAGAGTGGCTTAGGACGACAGACTTGTCCACCAGTGGCACCTTTAGTGACCCGTCAAATGAGATGAGTAGGGCTGAAAGCAATATCTGAGCTAGGGAGGTGAGCTTTCCCAAATACATGCTAAATAGTCACGTTATGCCAAAAGGAAATAAATAGAAACTGAAAACATAAAACGTCCAAACTGACAGGAAGTTTATTTTGTATGGCATAGAACGTGGCTGTCCCCCTAAATTCCGCCAACTTCCCTGTACATCTATCTCGCCCCTCTGCCTCAGACTGCTTCCTAATATCTGCTACCAGAGCTGTGTCAACTCAGATGTTGCCTTGGGACGCACAGGAGTGAACTGATTGGGTGATAAGTGAATTAGCTGGAAACTTTACCCTTAATTCCAAATGATAGTGAACAGCTCTTTACTGCTCCGAGAGCTCCACTGTCCCCTTATCCTCTGGCTTCCCCAGAGTCCTACTAGAAATAATGACACTAATGGCACTGTCATCACTGAATTGGCCCTAAACCAGGGGAATAGTGTACAAAATGCTATTGATGTTGTTGGCACAGTCTTAGACACTAAAAGTATCCTAAGGTAACACTCTCTATCCTGCAGTGGATATAGTGTTCTAGTCTTTTCTCCAACAAAACTTGTTCTTAGGACTTTTCAAACTTGTTTCTAAGCCTCATAGTTTGGATAAAATATTTTCCTTCCCTTCACTGGGAATCCAGTCCCACAGTCTACTGAGTACCCCCCATCAATAGTCTAGAGGCATTTTCCATATCTTTCCCTCTCATCTCCGTCATGGAATATACCACTGCCTCCTCTTGTCTCCTGGTCACCCTTGACCAGCTGCTGATTACTGTTAATCACAGGATGCTGGCGAAACTTAACAATAAAAAGCACATACATTCAATGATGTGCAAATGCACTCTTACCACAGTGGTTTTTGCACCTTACTCTCCTCAAAGGCATTATTCTGCACCCCTACTCGAACCCCATCAATAGAACTTTACCTGATTGGACCCCAGACCTGGGGCCAGTACTTCATTCAAATAGTCGGGGCTTGTCACAAACTCTGAGCCCAACGAGAAGCACAGCATTTTGAAAAGTCAAATAAGCCTTCCGTAGCTTTGTACATTTGCAGTTTTACATTTGTTATTAGGTTAGAGCACTAATAACACTTCAGTCATAAATCTATCTTATCACTATGATAAATCTTAGAACATATTCTAGAAACAGTGGTACCTTACTGCTATTATACTTACTAATTTCCACCCTAATGGTAATAAGTATTACGTGCAGATCATGTATGCATTATTTGTATTGTGTATACGCCAACTGTAATCATTAACCTCACTGATTAGAAGGTACAGAGATTGTCAAAGTGAAAATAAATCTTGGTCAATTCAGATGATAATGTGAACCTGATAAATGCTCTGTTAGATATTATATTTTGTTCTTTATGCTTGTTTTATATGACAATGCATGCTGTTTGCTAAGTAAAAAAATAATACATTACACCAATTTTTAAGGTTAGAATGAAAATTTTACATATATGCTGCTTGATACTCTGAAATGTATTTTGTGGCATAATTATCTTATTCATATGCATTTCACATGGCTTTTTTTCCCCCTAGGAAATAATTGTTCAAATATCTCTCTCTCCATCTTTCTGGTAACCTGGATTAAACTGCTTAATTCAACCTAAAACATTGTAAAGCCAGATTACCTCATTTTAACTGTGAAAAAAAGTTTAGTAGATATGCTGACATGATATCTTTTCTTGTATTTGATTTGAACTACCTAAATAGGCTTAAACCTAATAATAAATATAAAACTTTGGCAGGCACTTTTCCTTTGTTGGTATGCAAATTTTATTATTGGCCCACTTCTAATTTTGTTTTAAAAAGTTACAGACTCAACGTCAATAAAATACCTGATTGGGCTTCCCTGGTGGCGCAGTGGTTGAGAGTCTGCCTGCCGATGCAGGGGACACGGGTTCGTGCCCCGGTCCGGGAAGATCCCACATGCGGCGGAGCGGCTAGGCCCGTAAGCCACGGCTGGGCCACTGAGCCTGCGCGTCTGGAGCCTGTGCTCTGCAACGGGAGAGGCCACAACAGTGAGAGGCCCGCGTACCGCAAAAAAAACACAAAAAAAAGCCTGATTATAGTATATTGGATGAAGACCCTCTCAGCTTTGTCTCACACATACTGGAATTAGTTGCACAGGCCTGCGATTCCCAAAATGAGCTGTGCATGAAATGTACACAGTCTTGTCACCCATGCTTTTCCAAGCTTCACCCTCAGCACTTCAGCTATTTGTACTAGGCTTAGGCTCGATCCTACTTACATTCATGTTCTCATTTGACCAATACCTCTGGCCCATGTTACTCTGAATGGTCACCAAATGCCCAGAAATAGAACAATGTGGAGATTATGTGTTGAGCATACAAGGAATAAATAAAAGTGGGCCTATAGTTTCTGTTGGCAATGAAGATTTCAATATTCTCCTCATTCCTAATTCTTTTTAATAGAGTATCTGAGGCCACTTAGTTTTGGTGAATTTCTCTTTTTGCCCTATCCCCTACAAAAATAATGAGTTGAGGTGAAAGTCCTGTTTATGAATTTAGCAGAAATCAAATTAATTCTAAGTAATTATTCATTTCATATAGTTGAATGTTAGAACAGGTAATTAGGGATAATTATATTTCTATTCAAGTTATCATAGCAAGTGAAGAACATAGTCATAGTCAGAATTTTCTGCCTGTGTTTTTAGTTATTGTGTAGTAAGTCTACCATACTGTACTTTGGTTGGCTTTGATAAGTACCATTTCCAGTCATTTCCATTTGGTTTTAATAAAAAACAACATAATGTAGATAGGGCTGTGTCCAAACATAAGCGAAGCAGGTGTAACCTGCGTGGTGAAAGTGCAATGATTCTACCAGTCTGACTCAATTTCTGAACATACACTTGGGCTGAAACATTGCCCCTATGACAATGGAACTGTTGCGTTATATATGAACCCTTTAATATCTAATCACAATTTGTCATATTATAGCTGGGTTATAAACATTCTATTTAGCACAGAAACTAAGAACAGCCATTTCAGAGATGCATAGACCTGGATTTCTGTCCCAACTAGAGCATGCCCTGGCCATGTGATCTTAGGCAAACTAATATCTCTAAGTATATAGGATATAGGACTAATAATACCTACTATGAAGGGTTATTGAGAAGTCCAAACAAGAAAATATATGGAAAGCATCTAGCACAGAGCCTGGCACATAGTAAATACTCGAGTAACTATTAGTCTTAATACTAGGGTGGGGACTTTGCACCCACCCCCTCCAAAGAGCACCCAGCACAGCCTCTTCTACACGGTTGACTGCTAACCATTGTATCTACTGGTAAATGATTTAACAGAAACCAATTAATGAGAGAGAAAGCAGATACATTCAGACAGTGAAAGAGAAAGTTGCACAATCCCTGGACCAAATATATTGATACATTGCTCAGAGAGTGGGATTCATACCACTGGTGGTCTGCAAAATGATGTAAG